ACCGTGAGAAAAGTCATGTAAGATGTAGACGTGACAGGCATAAAGGAAATAAATTTAATTACTATTTCTCTGCATACATGCAACAAGTCTATAATAAAATGTATTTTATATTATGTATCACGGTATAAGCGTATTGATAAGTCAAAGAAGGGAAGTTAATCTCGTTTGGTAGCAAGGAATTGGAATTGGAAAACTATAATAGTATAGTGGATCTGAATTCTGATTTCATCAAATTGGTAAAACTGATCACTTTCACATTTGTACCCATGGAACCCCACTTTTTCTCTTGTGAATAGGTTTTAAAAATTTTTATTTTTCACCTCGCTTTCTCTGCCGCTTTCATTTGGAGTCATTCACATAATCAAAAACTCTTGCATAATACCAAATAAACAAGGATAAAGAGCAGCAGGCAAGTTGATAAGGTTATGCACGGAGGGAACAATTACTAATGAGCTAACAATTAGCGGTAATGTTATTATTATTTTTAAATTAAACCTCAATTAATTAACAAATGTATATAATGTAAATTCACTAGAAATAATTAAAAAATACAAATGATTTCAACATTTCTTACAGAAAAAAAAAACTAATGTGGGAACACCTCTATCAACAGGAGAGAAATTTCTGTCAAAAAACTAAAAGTAATTAAAGTAATAATTAATTAGAGGAAGTGGATTTTATAAAACAACTTCCCAAAATTGTAAAATAGCTCTCATAACTATAGGAACGAAGGTTAACACGATAAGCAAGGAATGAATGAATTGAATTTGGTGACTGTACCTGTATCATCTGAACTATTAAAATTTAAATCAATAGTTATGAATTTATACTCCACTTGATATTAATGAATGAGTGAATTATTTGAATTGATGATTTGGGTTTCAACAGTTCAAATGGTACATAAACTTAATTTGTGGACTAAATATAGTCACTAAATCCACACCCGGGATCGAATCTTGAAGCCATCATGTGGGGCCAAAATAGAAAATTTAGGAAAAATTTTAATAAAGACACCTTAATCATAGTTAATAAATAAGAGAATCCAAAAATTCTGAAATTTCACTATAATTTAAGGACACTATAGTGCAATTAAAATGTTGAGAGAATTATTTGACTGTCCTTGTTGAAAGATATTTGTTTGTCCATTATTTTAAGTTGTTCATTTACATTTATATTATTATTCATTGTCCTATTGTTTGTTGTTTGTTCATTACTTTCAGTTAATAATGCAACTTTTTTCACAACTTAATATATTAACAACTATTATTAATATGATGACAACACTTGAAATAAAATCAACTGAAAGTAATAGGCAAATAATAAATAGTAGGACAATAAAAAGTTAATGTAAGGTAATGAACAATAGACAATAGAGAAACGAACAATTTGTGTTTGCATCATCCAGGTATGTTTTGTAGAGACGATTAATTTTGTCATTTTCCTTAACATTTTAATTTTACTTTAGTGGCCTTGGAGTACAATGAAGTTTCATAGTTTTTGAGGTTTTCCTTTTTATTAACTACAATCAAAAGTCTTTTTGAAATTTTCCTGAAAATGGCACTACAAGTCTACAAATTGATTTCAACATTTCGTACAAATAAATGTATTTATAAAGAAGACTTCGTGGCATGGCACCAACGGTGAGAAAAGTCATGTCAGATATAGAGGTGACAGGTACAAGAAAAATAAGTTTAATTACTGTTTCTATTCATGCCTGCAACAAGTTTGTAATAAAATACATTTTATATTATGAATATGTATTAGCATATATAGCGTAATATAGGATAACATATAATTAGATTTAATTTAACATATTAGGATTATCCAATAGGGATATTTAAATAAAGATATTGATCCATTAGATTAGCTTTGATTATTTATTTATTATTATTTTATATATAAATATCTTTAATATTATATTTAGATTTAGGATTTGAGATTTGAATTTAAATTATTATTATTTTATTATTTTTATATCTTTATAAATAGAGTTAGGTTTTTCATTTATATTCAGTTTTTGAATATTATTGAATAAGAGTTTTTGAGAGTTTCAATTTTCTCCCTCCTTCTTTTTCTCTTCCTCTTCTTTATCTTCCCTCTCACCTTCCCGTGTTATATCAATTTGGTACCAAAGCTAGGTTTTCATTACACTTTTGTTGCTAATCTTAAAAGTACAACTTTTTTTATTAAAATTTAGATGTCCAAGTAAGGTATAACGAACTCACTATTTAACATTACTGACTGAAATGTCTTCTTCTCCTTCCACAAGTTTGTTCACCATTGGATCTTTGAGGTTTGCAATTTCTTCATATGTTTTTTTGCAATTTCTTCATGTGTTTGCGGCATTTTGAATAATTTTTCATTTTTTATTGATATGACTTTTTATATTCCCAAAAAAGAGAAAGAAAAGAGAGAAAAGGAAAAAGAAAGAAGAAAAGAAAAAAATTATTATGATGCTTAGTTGCCAATATAAGCTAAAACATATACATACATTTGGACACACATTTAGATTATTGGTGTGAATATGCTGATCTACCACAATATGCTCAATGGTACACATGTAGTGAATATCAACAACGTATGTCTATTCATTGCAAGATACTTATCGGCAAGAGAGCTATTGGTATGGTTATAAAGAGCAACAATATCAATATACAAGCCGTCAACAATATGAGCATACTTATTATGACAATTATGAGCATCGCTATCTCTAGTTTAAGTATGCTAATCATAAGCGATATGAGTATAAAAACCAATATCAGCATGAGTACATTGAGAAATGATAATATAAGTATCTTAATAGCCATCAACATGATTATGTTTATCAATACGAGGATGGTATCCATTGTCATTATGAATAAGCTGACTTTTAAGAGGAAATAGACCAAATTATAGTTAAACTGGGTTGCTTTCAGCTAGAACAGAATTGTTATTTTGACAAGTTTACAAGGGATTATGGTGAAGTTAAGAAGGCAACATATGGGATTAAGAGGATGGTTGATGAATTAAGGAAATAAATGGAAGAACAAGAATCAAACAAATCAAAAATGGCAGAAGCTCTTTCCTTGCTAGTAGAAGATTATCTAAACAATGATCAAGTTGTCCACTATAAATTAGAACAAGTGATTCTTTCTCAAATTGTTCATGGCAAGGATCAATCTTATCACGTTACAACTATTCTTTATCTGCAATTTGCATCTCCCAAGGTTACTTCGTTACTTAATGGTCAAATCCAGCAATACTTTGTCTATTGGAAGGTTTTTCAGATATTCTACATGATCAAACTATTCACTCTTGCTGGAGTTTATTCTTTTTCTATCTAATTTGTTGGAAGGGATTCCTCGATACTTACCTATATCAAATTGCTTGCTCTTGCAAAAGCTTGCTTTTTCAATATCTCATTTGTTGGAAAGGGTCTCCAAATTCAAGCACTCCATTGAAATTTATCTCGCTCTTCTGTTTTGAAATTTGTGCCTTAACTTTAACTCGTCAGGAGCCGAGTTCTTCAAGCGTGAGAGCAATGGTGTAATATGAGATAAAATATAATTAGGTTTAATTTAAGATATTATGATTATTTAATAGGGATATTTAAATAAAGATATTGAACCATTATATTAGCTTTAATTATTTATTTTATTGTTATATTAGATATTAGTATCTTTAATATTTGATTTAGATTTAGAATTTTATATTATTTTTAGATCTTTATAGATAAAGTTAAATTTTTTATTTATATTCAGTTTTTGAGTATTATTGAATAAGAGTTTTGAGAATTTCGTTCTTCTCCCTCCTTGTTTCTCTCTTCCTCTTCTTTATCTTCCCTCTCCCCTTCCTATTTTACATTAGTATATCGTTAGGTAAGTCTAAAAAGAATAGAAGTTAAAGTAAATTAAAGAGGCCTCTATCAAAATTTAAATGTAATTATATCGTTCGTTAGCAAGAAATTATTGGAATTGGAGAAGTGGAAGCGTAAGGAAAAAAAAAAGGATTGTTTGGTATTGGTGTAATGGATTTGACTTCTCATATAATCTAGTTTCATCAACATATAATCTAGTTTCATCAAAATTGGTGAAATTAATCACTTCCACCGCGTTCATACCCATGGAATGATGGAAGTCACTTACTTCCTCACTTTCTTAATAAAAAAAAAAAAAAAGCCCCAAGTACAAATCGAACATGTTTTGAAATCTCCTTTTTCATCTCAATTTCTCTTCCTCGAAATTTTGTCTAAAAGTGGGCACCAAAAGTTATATTTTTCCGTTTTTTACATTTAAAATTTGTCTAAGAGTGGGGCACTACAATAGATTTCAACATTTCTTACAAATAAAAATAAATATATTTATAAAGAAGACTTCGTAGCATGGCACCAACGGTAACAAAAAAAAGTCATGTAAGATGTATAATTAAGGAAAATAAATGTAATTACTATTTATATGCATGCATGCAACAAGTCTGTAATGAATAAAATATATTTTATATATTACGTATCAGCATATTGATAGGGAAGTCTAAAAGAATAGAAGATACTTCAGTAAAGAGGCCCGTTATAAAAAAGATTAAATGTAACCACTACACTGGCTTGTTTAGTAGCTAGCATGTAATTGGGACTAGAGAAGCAGAAGCAGAAGTGAAATTAAAAAAAATAAATTACTTGGTAAAATAGATCTCACTTCTCCATAGAATCTGGTTACATTAACATAGGTGAAATTCAAATAAATGAAAAATTACTAGTTTTTAATTTATCATTGCCTAATGAAACCCCCCCCCCCCTCTAGGAGCTTAATTATGATTGTGAGGCCCGTGAGGGAGGGTGACCAAGCGTGCCAGCTGTTTCGTCTTTGACTACACATGCGTCAGAAGTAAATCGGCGCCAGATAACGCGAGAGGGGATGACGCAGGGAGCAGTGACGTCGACACAACCTGGCGTCGTGCCTGTTCCATGCATATTATATATGAGGGCGAGAAGGAAGTTGAGCAACACAACAAAAGCTAACCGAGAACCCAAAATCGATCAAAATGGTGAATCCCAGGTTTCGGGTTTATGCCAGCAGTTACAAGCAATTCAAGTCTCTGGGTCATCCCAATTACAAGACGGTGCCCGAAAATGAAGTCCTCGAAGGCCACGTGGCCCTGGCCTTCGCCAGAGACTACGACAGTCGTGGGAAATCCACGCATGGAGATTTCCGTCCCTATTTCAAAATCACCGACGTCACTCCCGAAGACATCCGCCGATTCAAAAACAACAATAGCAAGTTCAAGTTCTTCCTCAGCATCGGAGGCCGGAGCCAGAAGTATCCCTTCTCTCTCACCATCGATGACGTTGACAACGCCGCCGCCTCCCTCAAAAAGATCATCCACAACTACCATTTCGACGGCATCGACGTTTACTACCAACACATCCATCCTCAAGTCCAGCCCGAGCAGTTTAGGGAGGTTCTGACGCAGCTCATTACGCGGCTCACGAGCGAATTCCACAATCTTGAGGTTTCCATCACCGTGCCTCCTCCTCTCCATGACAACTACTACAAGCCTCTGTTCGATGATTGCCAGGAAAAAATCCACCACGTGATTTACCAGACCCACTCCGCGGCTGAGAAGGATCGTGTTTCCAATGTTCACCAGCTCGCGCTCAAATTCAAAGGCCTCCTGTATCCCGTGGACAAGCTCTTTGCTGGCTATAGCATCCTCGACACCGACTGGAATGTTGTCCCGTTGCCCGTCTTCCGTGTGGCCGTTCATAAGCTCCTCTCGGACGGCCTCGTTTCTGGGCTCTCCGACTGGGCTGCCATCTGCTGTGACGACCCGGAGAAGTGATCCGCTACACGCCGACCATGGCTTTCCTTGTGGCTCATACATATACACACTACTAAATAAAGTATGCAGCGCACCAACCCTGTGGTCCTGTGCCTGCTTTTTCTGTATTTATGTCCATGTTTGATGTTTTGCACAAGTTTCCTTGGCTTCCGTCTCGCGTGTACGTGCATGTTATTTTTGCTTTGTATCTTTGCATGGGTTGTAGTAATAAAAGTATCCAGTTGTGATTGTGATTGCTCGTTACTGCTCCTCCGTACGTTCTTTTTCCTCGGCCTCTAACTATCACCTTCAAGCTTCAATTAAAAATTCTCCATTTTTTTGGTGCAGAACTGTGAGTTTAGCTTATTAATAAATTTTAATCCCGACGCTTTATCTCTTGCCAAGTAGCCCACTTATTCCAAACCTGTTAATTTCCAACATGAACCCGAGTTTTTTTAATCTCTTTCTTTTGGTAAAAATGTTTTATGTCCTTCGCCCCTTTAACATGTATTTCAACCAGCCTGGTTTCGGAGCTCATGCATGATGAGCAATTTAGATCCTTCGGATTTTTAGTCTTGATGGTCAAAAGTTTAAAATTATATTTTTATTTTATATTTATTATTAAAATTATAAAATTTTAATAAATATATTTCATCATTAATCTGAGCAATATAAATTTAATTTGGATGGTCTAATTTAATATTAATTTTTTATAATTTTTATAAACTGAATATTTAGATACATTTTGAACAATCTAAATTTAATATTAAATTTTTTTATAAATTTTATAAATTTTTATTTTAGTAAATATAGTATCAAAAAATAAAATAAAAGTAATCTTCAAACTAAAATTTTTAAAAAATAAAAAAAAGTTGTAACTTAAAAATTTTAAATTTAAATTGTTCAAAGTACATCTGAATTATATTTTCCAAATTGATGGTAGGGTAAATTTATTAAAATTTATAAATTTTATTTTAATAAATATAAAATAAAATATATAAATTTGAACCGTTCAGATTGTTTGTCATGTGATCCGCACCGAAACCAGTCTTGTATTACAACCCTCCATGCAAAAAATATTTAATTTCAGAGCAAAAAACTGCGTCCTTAGCTTTTTTCGCGAGACCCGCGGCCTTTCTCTATTTTATTTTCCTCCTTTCAAATATGTGAAAAAATAATAAGATATAAAATCAACTGTACTGAGGAGCCTTTGGGAGAATTTGAAGCTTATCCTTTATTCATACATTTGATAAATGCTATTGCCTATGATCATAAGATCCCACCTCTTATACAAATCATTTTTTTGCCTTATTATAAAAACTAATAGGTTAATTAAGTTTATATATGGATCATGTCACAAATACATAACATCTTGAATACTACTTAGAGTTACGTTCAATAGCTTGTATAAGGAGAGAATAACCTCTGTTTCTTTTCTTTTGTTTTTTTTTTTTTAGGTGACGTAGCCTCTGTTTTTTTCATTACCTGGTAAAATAGGCAAAGTCATCAGCTGGGTTACGATGGACGAGTTTGAGAGACTATCGAATAACATCGAAGGGGGCAGAGTTTTCTCTCTCTTTTAGCGGTGCTTCTTGTGCTCGTGTGTTCTTTTCTTCCTCCTTTCTTTGCGTGCTAGTATGTTTGGGTTTTTAGTTTGGTGGTGCTGTTTTCGTTCTACGATGAATCTACATGGTTGTAGTGCATCTCGTTTGTCTTTCTGTCGCAAGCACTATCTGTTTATGCTTGTTCTATTAGAAGAAGTCTCGCATTTAAAAGATAAATTATAAATATATGAGTTTAAAAAATATTTAATTAAATGATTTAAGTTATTTTAGTAGAGTATAATATCTTTAAAAATATTTAATATAAAAAAAATTAACATGACATCATGAGTTATTTGATAAAGGACAGGAGAAAAGAGAGAGAAAAAAGAAAGAAAGAATGAAAGATAAGAAAAAAGATAGTAAAAAATAAAAATATAAAGAGAAGGAGAGAAGGAGAAGGAGAAAAAGAAATTTAGTACACTTGAGGCCTCTGAAATTAAGAAAAAAAGTACAGATTCATGTAAGAAAAAAATAAAAAAATTAAAAAATAGAGTGAGAGAAAAAATAGTTTTTTTTTACCAGTGGAGAAAAAAATAGTATAGAAAATACTAGAAAAGTCTTACATCTAAGTGGCTGTTTGGATTATAATCCATTTTTTGACTCAAAAAATCGATTTTTCTGAGCTATTACCCAACAACCCATAATCGATTTTTTTCGAAAGCTAACGATCTGAGCTTCTGCCAAAAGTTTTTTAAAAAGTATTGGGAAAAATTATAAAGAAAGGCCAAAAAAAATTACAAAAAAAACACACAATTTAATAAAAATAAAATTAAAATTTTTTTTCTTAAAAAATTCAAACTTTGTATCCTCAAAAAATTAATATTTAAAAATTAAATTATATAATAATTTATATAGTTAAAATTAATTTTAATTAAATTATCCAAACATTTTTAATTCTGTTAAAATTAATTTTAAAAAAATAATATCCAAACAGATTACATTTAATATAATCAATTATGATTAAAATATATCACTTAATCAATTATTTTTATAATCTATTATAATCAATTAAAATCTAAACGAGTACTAAATATTATAAGATGGATAATAAATATACAAATTTAAAAAATATCTATCAAAAAGTTTAAATTATTTCGGTGAAATATATTATTCATGAGCATGCTTTGTATAAGAAATTTAACATGTTCATAACCATCGTCAGCTTTACGCTTCTAAGCTTCAGGCTTTAATTAATTTACGTTGGAAGCTACGCGGCTTTATTATGTTCGTTATTTTTTGTTCCTCTTTGGCTGCTGCGTTCATTTTGCATCAACGAACTTGGCTCTTGCAAGGTTACACTCTCTCTGTTTCAGCACGGACTGAGTCTCAATCGCTTTCTAAGATTTCTTTTTCATCTTTTCAAGTGTGGGTTCGCTTCATTGGGTTACCGATGGAGTTTTATACCAAATCTATTGCTATATTGGCAATTTATTTGGCAAATTTCAACGTCTTGATTGTCACAGTTTCAGTTCAAACAAGGGACTTCGCGACCTACAAAGCTGCCTAGAGTTGAGGATAATCATCGCTTTGAAGACATATTTAAACATCTTCAGAAGTTTTTTAGCATTGCTAAGTTGGTAGGCTCAACTACTTCTCACGTGGTGTTAAGTGTATTCTTTTGAATCCCAAAGTTTTTTCTTATGAGCAAGCCCATTTTCAGTCTCCTTTGAGCCGAGCCACATCTAAGCGAAAATTTTCAGCTAGCATTTCTAAGCTTGTTTCGATAAATCAGACTATCAAGAGGACTATATTTACCAGTCTTATTCACGGCTCTGATCGTGAAGGAGGGAAACTAAGAGAAACCTCTCTTAATGCGGTTCTTCCTAACAACCATGGTGAGTTTGCTGATCTTGGATTTGTTACTGTTACTAGCTCAGTTCGGTCCCACCTCAAATGCAAGTAGACTCTGTTCTTTAGCAGTGGGACGGAGTTGGGATTTTGTGATGTTTTTCCTTAAAAACCTCGCGCACTTTCATGATTTTGCTGAGGATCTCCAGTTCTCCATGCATTGCAGCTGCATGGAGATCCATAATGTTACGCTGCAATGTTTTTCTCTTTCATCTTGTTCTGTTTTGTTTGCTCTGTTTTTATTTTCAAAAAAAAAACATGAGTTTGAGGGACGGGTAAAATTTGTTGTATGATTATATCACTGATGTCACGAAACAAAGGCAAAGAAATATGCAAACATAGTTACGTTGTGGCCAAAACGTTATATAATGAAACACAAAGTAAAAATGTTGAATCTTTGGCATAAAAGAACTCACAATTATTAGCTTGAGAAGTAAGATCAGATCATCAAACATAAGAAAGTACATACAACAGACTGTAGAATGTATAGGAAGAAACATGCATGCATGCATCGCTGGGTCTACTACATAGCAACATTGTCTCCAACATATCTTGGCTGAGGCTCGTTGGAACAAGTGGTTTTGAGAAGATTCCAGTACAGTGGAATCTGTTCAAAAGTGTACAAGCACAGAGGTATCAACATCATGGCATAAGGGCTAATCTTATGCTTGATTCTCTGATCTAGTTCAAAGAAATGCGCCGCGCAGAAAGAGACCAACAAGGAGACAACGGACAGATAGAACGCAGTCAAGCCAAAGCAAAGCTTCAGAGGCAAACTTCGAAGATAATCAATGGCTTGCTTACGAGAACTAAAGACAGCCACAAATGCTGCCAAGGAAGTAATGGATGAGCAGAACGCAACCAGAACGGAGAAAGCAAAAACGTTGAAAGCAAGTTGGCCTCGCAGGATAGGTTTTCCAGTGTCATCGGTGCCTCCTGGGACAGTGAACGATGCAGCATAGGTGACACTGACAATAAGTGCTGCAACTATAGCGTAAGAACCAGAGGTGTCCTTGAGCCACTCGTTGCTTTCTTTGAGGAGGTCCTTGTGCTCCTTTGCGAAGACCTCGTCTGGAGTGTTATGATCGTCGTTTATTTGAGAACTCAGGTAAGCTGGCATGCTGTCTTTCACGTACTTTAAACGAGAAAATATTTATAGTATAATTAATGATAATCACAAGAACAATACATCCACACGTTTCAATATTTGTATATGACATGCCTGCAGTGATATTATATCATGATTCACAATTTTACATACCTTAAACCAGAGGGCTTCATATTGCATTTGCATGACAGAGCCATGAACATGCCGAGGCATATGATGGAGTAGAAGGGAGGCCATGTGCAATACATTATTTCCTTCGCTATCCACATCCTCTCTGAGTATATGCCAAAGTGGGTGATTCTTCAATAACTTGAGCACATGGGTTTGCCTTTTTTCTACGGCCAAGAGAACCACGTTTCTTCTCCTTGGGTCGGTTTTGTCGTAGATTGCCACCGGATAAACTTCAAGGATTCTCTTCACCAGTTCTATCTGACCATTTGTTATTGCCACTAACAATGGTGTCGATTTTTTATCGTTTGTTGAATCATGTTCGCTGTCGTCGGACTCAGAAGTTCCTTGTGAGAGTTGTTCCAAGTTCTGGTAGCCATACTCAGAAGTTCGTCGTAAGAGTTCTTCCACAATCTGGGCACTCCATACATGTTTCTCTTTCATTTTCCTTATTGACCCTTGTGAGACATGTCCCCAAACAAGGGTCATTATTAGTTTTAATTTAAGGAGTAGAGTGAACGTATATATTTTCCATCACAGTAAAAAGAATCAAATAAACCTTGTCTTCGATGCCTCTTTCTTGGATCATCAGCTTTCAACCCGCCAGAATTTCGAATAACTTGCCCGTCCACTTCAGTTTTCAGCTCTTCTACTCTACAGACTTCACAGAAAGAAACGTGATGGTATATGTTAAAGTTTTCTCTTTCTCTCTCTCTCCAAATATATATATGGATTCAGACTAAGAACAAATTAACCATTATACTTACAATTGTAACAAAGTCTTTGCCACAAAGACATGGGAGTTCCACTTTTGAAAGCGGAAGGTATGGAGGCAAGGACAAGAAGAGGAGTATCTCCGTCTTTATCTTTAGCACCAACGATCTTCTGCTTTTTATACAGATGAATGATCTGAAGTGCAAGATCTGGCCAAGATCATGAATCATTAATACGCACACACACAAAGTCTTGTTTTCTGTAACTAATCTCTAATATAATACAATCAATTCATGACTGCTTACATACCAAGGTATTCTCTTTGAATGGTGAAGTGAAGTATAGTGTCACCATTAGTCCTCCTCCAGCATGGTTTATTTGTGCCGGCGGTGATGTTCTGCGTCTGATTGGTGGTGTCCTGCATCTGAATAGTGGTGTTCTGTATCCGATTACAAAAACAATGAAGATAGAGAAAGGTACGTTTGTGGCCGTTGAGAGCGGCAAGGAAAAGAGGCGTCTCTCCTTGCTCGTTAGGTTTCGAAGCCAAGTCTCGATGAACGCGTAGTATTCGGTCACATATGGAGGCAGAACCTCGCGTGGCTGCACAGTGCAGAGGAGTGTCTTGTTGCTCATTCGTAGCTTCCAAGGTTTGTCTGGCAACTTGGACGTCGTTAACGTTGGTATTCTCAATCTCATCGACCAGCTTTATAATGATGTTTTCTGGTGCGCCCAGACTGATAGCCACGTGCAATGCAGTGTCCTGCGATTTGGCGATCTTCGCGGCCTGAATCTGAGGATGAGACTTGTATAACTCTATAACTTCATCCCATCTTTGTGCCAACACTGCTTTACACAGACTCTGTTCTTGCTTGATTACCTGCCTTGCTGCCATTTTTGGAATTATATTTCTAGCTCTATATTGATTGCTATGCCACTTAATTAGACTGAGTTGGCCGATTAGTAGTGCCTCTATATATGTGTGTGTGTGGGCGCCCGCGAGATAGATGAGAAGTTTGTCCATTTAAAAGGTAAAAAAATTTAGATTTGGATAAAGTGAGGGTCACAACTCCACTCATCACTCAATGAATATTTCGTGTAACACATAACAATTATTGATTTAATCCAGAGATTGTCAATTTTTGTTATCTGATACTAAAAAAAAAATATATCAAATCTTACCTCTTGATTAGATCACAAATCATATATAAGCGGTTGATATGAATTTTTAGAAAAGATGACACACTTGAAAAGTGTTTCAATAAGAATGTTATAATTTTTTGGAAAGAAATATATTTTTATAATTTTCAGGTGTTAATGAAATTTAATGGCATGCATGGTGATTAAATTTGAGCCACTCACTATAATCAAATATGTAAAAATTTTCTCTTAAGTTCTTCTCTAATTTCTTTGGGTATGTTCATGAATAACCTTTTTCTTTTCTTTTAATTAAGTTCTTACTTCATTTTATTTTATTTATAAATTACTTTCAATATGTTTTACTGAAACTTAAAAAAAATTGAACTTCATTAACTCTATTTTAAAATTTAATAAATTTTCACCTTTCTCTCCTAATAAGGACAAAAAAAATTCTTTTTAATAATTTTTTTAGCATTAAATAAGAACAAAAAAGTAAAGATGAACATTAAAAATAGTGAAGTGCCCTACAAATATGATTAAAATTAATCTTATTTTTCTGCCATATAAATAAGAGCAAAGGAGTATATTTTATCATATTTAGATACTTGTCTGGACAGACATGAACATCAACAACCCTAATAGATCCAAGAGTTTTTAGTCTTATTTGTTTTCGCTTGATGCTTTCATGGATTATCAACAACAATCTATCAATTTCCTCCAAATCTGTCCTCTTTATATAATTTGCTATAACTAAAAGCTTTTGTGGGCTCTTCAGCAAAGAATTTTGATCTCAAATATTCTTAATTACAATGTAAATTTCTTAATTTTTCATTTTACTCCCGTTTCACATTTAATTTTGAGAAAAATTCAATCAGCTCTCCTTAACCTAACATAATTTAAGTTAACCCCCAAAACTCTAAAATTTCACTATAGATTTGGAGGACTCAAATGAAATTAAAGAGATGACTCAAATAATCTTATTGTCACTAGTGATGCTAGGTGTCTAAACAATTTGTGTAGGGAAGATGACCAATTAACATAGGTGAAATTTGCAACTCTCACTATCAACATAACACCACTATAAATTTGCAACTCTCATTTTCACCTACGCTAGTTGTTCATGTTCCACACATTAGTTGTTTATTTTCCCTATACAAGTTATTCATATGTCTAGTTTAATTTCACCAAGGATAATAAGATTATTTGAATCATCTCTTTAATTTCATTTCAGTCTCCTAAATGTGCAATGAAATTTTGAAATTTTGAGGGGTTGATTGAAATTAGATTGGATCAAAGAGGCTGAATGAAATATTTCCTTTAGTTTCTGTCGTAACGACCAGCCTAACCAGGAGAGGATCCAATTGGGAGAATTAATTCTTATTTTTGTTTTTGTCTGGTGCTTGCTTGCAATTTAATTAATTAATCCTGTTCCAGATTTCTTGTATCTTCCCGGCACTTGTAAAAGGGGAAAATGAGACATGCTTCCTTTGGCAAAAAGAAAAGGGGACAATTAAGGGCTTATTTAATTTGGTTTTTATTTTTAAAAGCAGTTTTAATTTTAAAAAAATGGAAAAAAAATATTTGGATGAGTGTTTTAAATTTAATTATTTTAAAATTTTTTTAAAAAATAAAAAATTAGAAACAACTTAAAATTATTTTCATTTTATTTTTCTTACTTTCAAAATACATTACATTTGATTATTAAAAATTATATTATCTTAATCAATAATTATCATATGCAATCACTATTAAACATCGGTGATTATTATTATCGACTGATGTCTAATTATAAAATTGTTTTAAATTAACACAATCAAACAAATTTTCTTCTTATTTTGTTTTGAAAAATAATTTTAAAAACTATGTTGTAAAACAGTTAGAGTTTGTTCCTCAACTATTTACTCCAGAGGTATATTAAATTTATATATAATACAGTCATGTCTTTTAACATTTGAAAATGATACAATGGGTACGTTATCATTACAAAAGCTAACTTTAACAATTAGTTGATTGAAAAAAATTATAAAAAAGACCTATAAAATTGCAAATAAGTATTCTATCAGAAAATTAATATTGATGAAGTCTATAAAATATGGTTGATCAAAATTTTTTTTTATGTGGATAAGAAATAACATTTATATCATGTTATTTGTTTGTAATTTAAAAAAATTAATTTATATTAATTTTCTTTTAAAACATTTATGCATGATTTTATATATGGGTCTTTTTTTATAATTTTTGAGATTATTTTTTATAATTTTGGAGTCAATTAATCATGAAAGTTAACTTTCTTAACTATGGGGTGCTCAATGCTGCACTTCGAAATGTCAAAGGGAAAATTATACCATAGGATACAAGATGCTCTTGAGCGGATAGTTGAAATGAAAAATGCCCCTTTAATCCATTTAAAAAATGAAAAATATGATCAGAAACCAAGCAAGCCCTAAACTTCTTTCATAATTAATGATATTTCTTTTTCCTTTTCATGTTTAATGTTTTGAAGGATTTCAATTAATTTATACATACAAATTTTTTTTGAGTTATATAAATGTAAATTTTTTGGTTATATAAATATTTTTTTGAGTTAATTCACTCCATTAACATCGGCTGCCATATAAATATAAATTGTGTCTTTTAAGCTATCATGTCTTAGCTATATAGAGAGAGAGAGTGTGTGTGTGTTGTTGTGCCACACTTGAAGTGATCGTGGCTAATTAATAATTAAACAGCTATGGGTGTGGGGATTATATCATTCATACCAACAATCTGCTTTAAAATTTGCAGAATAATAAAAACTGCACCAGTCATTAAACCAATTAAAAACTATTATTTAATGGTTAATAATCAAAATTATAATTAAGTCAGATTAAGCCAATTATGAATAAAGCATTTTATTAAATTTATAAATATATTTGTTTAACTGTTTATTGGTTCAACTAAGTGGATTAACTCAAATTTCCCTAATATGATAATTTGACACAATAATATCTTGGGAGAATGACAGATAGATCTTAAGAGGACTTTAAGTCTCAACTAATTTTAAAATATCAAACTCTAGAGATTTAAAAGTTCGGCTTTTAATTTTGTAACTTCATTGTGATAAATTTGCAGTTTATTTTTTTATATTTTAATATGATTAAAAAATAAATAAATTTATTTTTTCTATTAAAATCTAAAAAATATATTATAAATTCATCACAATAAAATTATAAAATTAAAAGCTAATTTTTAAAATATCTAAAAGTTTTGAAATTGGTTTGGACGTAGTTAAAATTAATTGATTCCTTCAAGACTTATTGTCTTTTTTCCTAATAAATTTGGCACAGTGTACGGCGAGATCCCAAAAAGGAAGGGCTGTGTATGTATTGCTTGTATTCTTATTTAAGAATTACAATTAATAGAGCAATGCAAGGAGCTGTTGAATAATATTAAGTAAAATGCAAAATAAATATTGAATAAATTGTTTAATTTATGCTTCCTACTAGGCCTTTTATTAAATATTTAAATTTAAATGATAGGTAGGGTTTCAGGGCATGATTTGCTGAAAATTAAAAATAAGTAATTTTTAGATATTGAAGAGATTTTATAAAAATTTTATTTATAGAGATTTTATAAAAAATAAATTTTAGTTTAGGTTTGGTTATAATAATAAAAAAGTGATCGTTAGTTAATAATTTTTTAATTTTATAATATCTTTCTTATTTTTTTTTATAAAGATGATTCATTATTTAATTATGTTAACATTTTATAATATTTTTGTGTATCTCACATTTTACAAAAATAAGTAGAGCGAATTGGCTGATTATTAGTGCCTCTCTGTCTCATTCTATATGTATATATGACACATGAGAAGTGTGTCCTTTTAAAAGGTACATAAAGATTCGGATTTGGATAAAGTGAATGTCGCAAATTCATCTACTTAATGAATATTTCATATGACACAATAACAATTATAAATTTAATGAAATGCCTGTCAAATTTTGTCATATGATATAAAAAAAAAAATCAAATCTCACCTCCAGATCAAATCACGAATTAGATTAATAGCTGTTCTGAATTTTAGAAGGGATGACTACACAGAAAGTGTTCTAGTAAGAGGTTTTTTGACTTTTTGGAACAAAATGCATATTTATCATTTTTGGGCGTTAATGAAATTTAATATTAGCTTGGCTATAATTAAATATGTATTGAGTCATGACTCATGAGTGAGTGAATTTTTGAATATAAGACCAGAAAAAAAACGTGCAAAGAGATAATGATCAAATCATGCCAAAATTATTTTGAATTTGAGCTACTCATCAAATTTAAGTATGTAGAGGTTTGTTCTCTCAAGGTTCTTCTCCAGTTTTCTTTGGGCGTGTTAATGCACAGAAACAAACCTTTTGCTTTTCTTCTAAACTCTTATCATATTAAATTTTTATAATTAGGTTAAAATATATTTTTAACCTTAAAAATTTACATATTTTAATTTAATTTCTTAATTTTATAAAATATTTTTTAAGTTTTCTAACCCTAATACAGTTAATTTCAAATTCAATTATTGTTATTTTTTAAAAATTAACATAAAAATTAAATATTTGAGGTTGTGTTGTTCGTATTTAAAAATTTAATATATTTTTTTGTAAAATTAAATATTTTATGATTAAAAAATTAAAAAGGTATTTTACAAATTAAAAATTAAAGTAAAATGTTATAAAAATTAAAATATTATTTTTTCATAATTTTATTCTTGTCTAGACGGACATGGGTGAACGTCGATAACCTGGATCCCAATGTGAGAAGACTAATTAATGCCAATGTACGGATATAGTTCTTACTTTTCTTTTTGTCTGGTGCTTCCTTGTAATTTAATCTTTTCCTTTTGTCTTCAATTCTTGTATCTTCTGTGCACTTGCAAAAAGGCAAAATGAGATATGCTTCGTTTGAAAAAAAAAAAAAAAAGGAAAAGACGAAAATTATTTTAAACTTCTTTCACAATTCATCATCTTTTTTTTTTTTTTTTAAATAAGCAATATATCCGTTAAAATATTACATGAATAGTAGTCTAGGCTCTAAATTCTTGTGATGTGCGATAACTTTTCTCACCTTTCAATAATCTAAAATCTTACTTTAAGTATTTTACAAGATGTGTGGCTTACTCACGTATTCATGTAACACTCATTCCTTCTTATTGTTTCTTACATGGGAGTGGGCCTTGCATTTTAAAAAGTAATAGCCATTTTTCATACTTAATGATGAAGTTTTATATGAATGGAATTTAGAAATTAGGAAAATCTTTTATGCATTTCAAAAGTTTGAGATTAAGGATATTATTTGCATAATAATTTATGAAGTATATTATTCATTAACCCTTTCCTTTCATGTTTGATGTTTTGAAGGAATATTTCAATTAATTTATCATACAAATATTTTATTGAGTAATATAAATATAAATGTATATAAATATAACTTTTTGAGTTATTGTATATTTTTTAATCATTATTCTTTTCTTGGTGTAAGAGAAAGGAAAAAAGAACCAATGTGTCTTTATTTTGAGCCACTTTAATAAATAAAAGTAAACTTACGTAACAAATAAATGTGTCCGTCAAATATTTGGGTGCAGGCTAATCAATGTTTTCAGATATTTCTTCCTCTCTATTTTCCGGCGCTTGCTGGCTTTCTTATATCGTAATATTCCATGGTCTTGATTTATTGTATCCAAAATTATTACACTCGTGAGTTTAAATAAATTTATAAAAAAATATAAATTTATATCACCAACTTAAATTATAAATTCATAAGAGTTTATTTTTATTAACAAATAATCATTACAATATTATTATAATTTAATTTAAATATATTAAAAATATAAATAATTAAAATTAAATCTATCTATATTGATAAATTATCATATACAAAATATAAAAATTTTAAAATAGGGAAACTTATTTTGGGTACTTTTATTTTATTTTTTATTAATATTATTTTTTGTATTTCAAGTTTTTTTTCTTCAAACTAGGTCTTATGACTTTTATAAAATGAATTCTTCATAGTATATACTTAACTAGCTCAATTAAAAAAAAATTGATGAGTTAAATAAGTTTAACTAAATTTGCATTTAGTCTGAGCTTATAAATTAGTTAACATTATTTTGTAAATTAAAAACATAAAATAGAAAACTTAGAGGTAAACTCATGAGTTTAACTGAGTTTGTATCTAATTTGAGTTTATGAGTGAGTTGATATGATCTTATAAGTTGAAAACATAAAAATATTAAATTCATAGAGTCAACTTGAGAGTTAAACAACTATGATTGTATCATTTTTTGGTTTCAAAAACAGGAAAATTGAATACCAGTACTTCCTTTATAAAAGTTGAGAAAAATTGAAAGAAAGACAGATTTTCTTCTTCTATAATAATGGTTGTGTTTTACCGGATTTTAATCATTTCCATACTTTTCTTTCAATACTTCTCTTCATATCTAATTTTATCTATTCATTTAATTATTTACTTGACTTAACGGTGTAAGATTATTAATTATTACATTAAAATAAGTATATTATTTATTTAATGAATACAATAAAGATTATAATCCTATTTTTAAGAGTATTTAAGTGATGATAATAATAATATGTTTATTCCAGGGATTATGCAGCTTTTCATCCCTTATATTTGAAGAGTTGTTGATTTGATCATTAAATTTAATTTTATTATTTCAGTATTTAACGTTTGCTTTAGTTAATTATCAAGTCTTTCCCCTTCGAAAAAATGTTGATGTGTAAATTAGGTTGTTAATGTGTAATATATATTTAAATTAATTAATACACATAAGTGAAATCTTCTAGCTTTAATTATTTACGTGGTTGATTTTACTATTTTTTAATTTCTAATTTAATCTACATTGCCTTTTTTCCTGAATATGTTGTTTTTCCGTTCCTATCCAAGTCAACACGCTTGCTTTCCACATTAATAAATCTTCATATGGCTGCCACGTCATCATTATATTCGCCATGTCAGATTAATTTAACGGTCTTGACTTCTTTCATGAGATTAAATATTACTTAGATTAGATAAGTTGATAAAACATTAAGGATTGAAATGATAAAAACTAAACAAAAGAGACTAAATTGATAACTCCCTCAAACATAAGGGACTAATAGTTATGTTTTTTATTTTAAATTTTATTACGTAAAATAAAAATTGAAAAAATAATAATTCTTACACATAAAAGTCGGGGAGGGAGGGGGGAGAGAGAGAGAGAGGAGATTTAATCAGATATTTAGATTCACTCGCAATATTTGAGAAGTCAGAGAAATTCTTAAATATACTGTCAGTTCACCACGTTACTTATATTCTCTTGATAAAAATATGCAAATTTTAGTGTTTATATTTTGCAAGGAAAAAACCATTAAGGGGGATGCTGGTTTTTTTCCACTTAAAAAATATAAATACTAAAGTATTACTCCCTCTAGTAAAAAAAAATGAGACATTTTTAATCTAATTCAGCCTTCAATTAAATAGTTACTTGTTTTTAACTAATCTTATCTTTTAATATTTACTCTTATTTAATAGGATATTTCACCCTAAGAAAATATAAAGTCATCCAATCAATAGGAACACTTTAAAAAAATAATGATTACATTTTAAAATTAAAAATATCTTATATTTTTTAATATTTAACCTCTCAAAAAATATTTTATATTTTTAAACAAAAGGAAGTATAAATTAAGTGCTTGCTGTGTAAGATTAAAATAACGTGACTTGTTCTCATCGAAAAAAATAATAATAATAACGTGACTTGTGTGTTTTTATTAAAAGCATAAGTGATGTTGTACACAGTGTGCATACGTAAGAATTTGTTGAAAGAGCTGGTTTTTTTTTTTTTTTTTACTACACTGTTAGTTTTTGATTTGATATACATACATATATATATATATATATATATATATCATTTGTTCGTTGTATGAGTATATCATTTTTTTCATATATCATTTGATATCATGATTCATGAAACAAGAGCCAAAAGAGATACACATACATACTTGTAGCCAAAAACGTCATATAATATAACGAAAAAAAATTAAAAACGTTGAATAATTAATTGGCATATATAATAAGAAAGTCACAATTAATTGAAATTTATAAATAAGTAAATTTATTTTAATTGTTAGTTTATTTAAGTGAATAAAATATATTATTTCTGATTCTCTTTGTAGTTGTCTATCAATTATTTCACGTATTTTAAAAAAAAATTAATTTTTTATATAATAAAAAATGATATATATTTTCATTTTTACTTTACTTTTAAATCTTGATATTACTACATTAAATACTTTCAAATCAAGAAAATAATAAAATTAAAAAATATTTAATTATTATAAAGTGTCCTAAATTTTATACTAAAAAATATTTTTAGAAAGTGTTTTAAATAAGATTAGAGGAAGTATTTATTAAATTACCCCACGTTTAAATCGTTACTTGTACCTCAAGCAATCACACTAGAATTAAAGCGGTTTCATTACTTAATTCAACGTGTCGGTACTATTTCCTATACTATATTCTTCATTTTCAACGACAAGCTGATGTAAATAAATATAAGAGTCATTCAATCAAGAAAAAAATGCAGTTTACATCTCACCCACTCATCATTTATGTATTTTTGTGCAATACATGCGTCAAATTGTACAATTCATTATACCATCATGACACCAGAGCGAAAGAGATACGAGATACAACGAAATAATGCTTCATTTTCAAAAAGTAGATTTTGCAACAAATTTAAAAAAAAATAGAAACTTTCAAGCTTCTGCTGCATACAAGAAATCACAAGATGATTAAAAAAAAAAAAGAACGAAATACAAATAAGAAACGTGCAATTCTCTCGATCTACATGGTAACATTGTCTCCCACGTATCTTGGAAGAGGCTCGCTGGAACAAGTGGATTTGAGAAGATTCCAGTACAGTGGAATCTGTTCATAAGTGTACAGCCACAGAGGTATGAGCATCAACGCATAAGGGCTAATCTTTTGCTTGATTCTCTGATCAAGTTCAAAGAAAGTCGCAGCGCAGAAAGAGACCAACAATGACACAACGGACAGATAGAAAGTAGTCATGCCAAAACAAAGCTTCAGAGGCAAGCTTCGAAGATAATCAACGGGTTGCTTTCGAGAACTCAAGACAGCAACGAAAGCTACCAAGGAAGAGATGGAGGAGCAGAACGAAACCAGAACGGAGAAAACGAAAATGTCGAAAGCAAGCTTGCCACGTAAGCGAGGTTTTCCTGCGTCATCAGTGCCTCCAGGGACAGTGGACGATGCGGCATGGGTGACACTGACAATAAGTGCTGCAACAACAGCGTGCGAACCAGAAGCGTCCCTGAGCCAGTCGTTGCTTTCCTTGAGGAGCTTCTCGTGCTCTTCTGAGAATATCTCATCTGGAGTTTTGCCTTCTTTGTTTATTTGATAACAGAGGTGAGCTGGCATGTTGTCTTTCACGTACTTTAAACGTACGAGATAACATTTATAACATGATTAATGATATAATTAATCACAAGAAGGAATGCGTCCATCCACATATTTCAATAATATTTTTACCCTGCCGACGCATTTTAATTTACACTCCTTCCAGTTATTTATAATGCATTATCTATTGGTTTAATTTCTCAGTACAAAATCTCTTATAGAGTTTAGATTGATGAATTATGAATATTTAAATTTTATATTTGCAATCTTGCATTTAAATTTTACATTTAAAGTACATGTATTTAAAATTATTTTTTGGATAATTTTAAAAAAACTCAATGAAAAAAGAGAAATGAATTAAGATTTAAAATGAAAATTAAAAATTAAAAATGACAAGTTTATTTTTATTTTTTAATCAACAAGAGATAATAGAAGATACAAAAGTTACAAGGTATCAATAATAAAAACGTGAAAAAAATAAAATTTTTAAATTAATTATAATTTTAGATGAGTACAATATAGGGGGAATTTAAAATTATAAAGGAATTATAATTTGAAATAAATTAAATTTAAATTCATAAATTTTTGTATGTTCAACTGAGTAATTTGATCTAAATCTAAATCCAAATTCAAATGATATATTCCCAATAATCCAAACACATCATACAAGTTTTAATAAAACATTGCAACAATAGTAACAAGCTTTATCATAACAAGGTTGACTATATGAATGTATAGCACAACAGCATTGTACGGTATTTTATCAACAACTAAATCCTTGGACATATTATTAATCAAAATGTCTCTTTCAAACCAATGATCCATTTTCAAAAATGACTTTGCACTTCGACATAACAACAAGTTCTGTGGCTTTATTTACAAATATTGTTGATTAAGATACTTTTAAAAGCTGTCATTTATTTTTGACATTTAACTAATTTTCTAATTACTCTTAAAAGAGTAGTTAATAGGACCTTATATGTAAAAGATTGGAGGGAGTAACTGGTTATATTTTTATATGACATGCATGCAGGGATTCTGTTCATACCTTAAACCAGAGGGCTTCATATTGCATTTGCATGACAGAGCCATGAACATGCCAAGGCATATGATTGAGTTGATAGGAGGCCAGGTGCAATACATTATTTCCATCGATATCCACATCCTCTCTGAGTGTATGCCAAAGCGGGTCATTCATCAGTGACTTGAGAACATGGGTTTGCCTTTTTTCTACAGCCAAAAGAACTATGTTTCTTCTCTTTGGGTCGGTTTTGTCGTAGATTGCCACCGGATAAGCTTTAAGTATTTTCTTTACCAGTTCCAGCAGACCATTCTTTGTTGCCGCTAACAATGCTGTCGTTTTTTTTGTCCTTTGCCGAAGTTTTTCCTGCCAACTGGTCCTTCATATATAAGATACATGGAGGTTGTTTATTACTATTTTCTAATTTACCTTGTGCGTCTTGCTGGTTCTGTTTATCCTCCTGATGACGCTCTTCTTCGCTGTAGTCATACTCAGAAGTTAGTTGTAAGAGTTGTTCCACAATCTGGGCACTCCATACATGTTTCTCTTTCATTTTCCTTATTGACCCTGTAGAGAATGTCCCCAAAGAAATGCATTAGTTTTAATTCAAGTACTGCAAGTAGACTGAAGGTACTTAATTATTTCCCATCAAAGTAAAAAGAATCCAACCTCGGCTCTTTCTTGGATCATCATCACCTTCCAACGAGGTAGAATTTCCAACGGCCAGACAAACTTGGCCATCCACTTCAGTATCTATTTTCAGATCTTCTTCTCTAATGCCTTTACAGAAGGAAATTAAAAAGTTCACTATAGTATTTTAAAACATAAGAACGGAAATAATTAAAGTGAACACAACACGAACTAACGTGATTGTATATATATTCCTCTCCCTCTCTCTCTATTTATATATGGATTCAGATCAAGTTAAATAATATACTTACAACTGTAACAAAGGCTTTGCCACAAAGACATGGGAGTGCCCCCTTTGAAAGCGGAAGGAATGGAGGCAAGGACAAGAAGAGGAGTATCTCCATCTTTACCTTTAACACCAGCGATCTTCTGGTCTTTGTACAGATGAATGATCTGAAGTGCAAGCTCTGGCCAACACCATCATGCATATCATTAATACACACGCGCACACAGAGTCTTGTTTACTGTAAATAAGCTCAAATACAATTAATTCATGAGTACTGCTTAATTACATATACCAAAGTATTCTCTTTGAATTGTGCAGTGAAGTATAGTGTCACCGTCTGTCCTCCTCCACAATGAAGTGGTGTTCTGCATCTGACTGCAAACCCTATGAAGAAAGAGAAAGGTATGTTTGCGGCCGTTGAGAGCGGCAAGGAAAAGAGGCGTCTCTCCTTGCTTGTTAGGTTTCGAAGCCAAGTCTCGATGAACGCGTAGTATTCGTTCACATATGGAGGCAGAACCTCGCGTGGCTGCACAGTGCAGAGGAGTGTCTTGTTGCTCATTCGTAGCTTCCAAGGTTTGTCTGGCAACTTGGATGTCGTTAACGTTGGCATTCTCAATCTAATCGACCAGCTTTATAATGATGTTTTCTGGTGCGTCCAGACTGATAGCCACGTGCAAAGCAGTGTCTTGCGATTTGGCGATCTTCGCCGCCTGAATCTGTGGATGCCTCTTGTACATCTCTATAACTCCTTCCCATTTTTGTCCCCCCAATGCTTTGTACAGTTCTTGCCTCAATAATGCCTCCATAGATTCTGGAATTATGTAGCCACTTAATAATTAGAGTGATTGAACTGCAGGGCTGATTGATTAAGTGGCTCTCTCTCTCTCTCTCTCTCTCTCTCTATATATATATATATAGACATGTTCTACAAAGGTGAAACGGTTCTCTCCAGGTTCTTCTTCTCCTTCAAATGTACGGACATGTTTCTTACTTCTCTTTTTGTCTGGTGCTTGCTTGTAATTCAATTAATCCCGGCCTTGTTCTTTACTTCTGGTATCGTCGTGTTTCATGTTTTGAATGATTCCAAATAATTACATAAGCATATCATTTTTTCCTGAGTAGTTACTTAACTCCAATAATCTTTGTCAAGCTTAATTAAAAGTAGATCTGTTTTAATTAATGCCGCTTTTTCCCCTATTTATTATAATATTTGAACTTGCAATCTTTTAGTAATCAAGTCTCTTTTAATCTACCATGGTTGTGATTTTGTTCAATTCAACCAATTGGTTTTCAAGTCATGGTTTGATTTATTCTCTTGCTGGGATCACAAATGAAAATAAGAATTGCCACCAAAATTTTAAAAATATAATTTTGGAAACCTTTCTTTAAATAAATAAACATGGTCCACAAAATAAAATTTGAGAGCCGATAGAACAAGGAGAACAATTGAGTAGTGTATGTATGCATGTATTACTTGTGTTCGTTAGAAATAACAAGTTATTAGGTGTGTTAGATACATTGAGTCTCAATTGATAATAAAAGGTCTTCGAACTCTCTTATCACAGTTTACTTGAATGTAAACAATATGCAAGATTTGATAGAACAAGTGTCTGATTATTACTAAAATGTTATGAAATGTAAACGATTGTAAACAGTTACAAGTGTAGATTGAAGATAAAAACTAATTGATAAACCTAAAAACTATTTGTGCAAAATGCGAGTCTTTCAAATGCTGTTGATGTGTTCTTCTACTATCTGATGCTCTATTTATAGTGACCGAATGATGATAGCTTCTTCCTTAAAATTTGGAATGTTCTTATGAATAATCAAAGATCTTACGAAACTCATGACATGGTCTTTAATCACTGTCTTCCATTTTTAATAACTAGCCCGTTTCGCTGAGATATTGGGCATAATGATGCCATTCTTGTGAGATCCGAGATTATTTGAGATCATGTCTTTATATACCAACGGTTTACAGAATGAGTTTGCAACTGTCCATAGAGTGGGTTTACAAATCTAGATTGAAGATGAAAACTAATTGATAAACCTAAGAAACTATTAGTGCAAAACGTGAGTCTTTCAAGTGCTGTCGATATGTTCTTTTGCTATTTGGTGCTCTATTTATAGTGATAGAGTAATGGTAGCTTCTTCTTTAAAATTTGGAATGTTCTTATGAATAATCAAGGATCCTGTGAAACTCATGGCATGGTCTTTAATCATTGTCTTCCATTTTTAGTAACCAACCCATTTTGTCGAGATATTTGGGCACAATGATGCTATTCTCATGAGATCTGGGATCGTTTGAGATCATGTCTTTATGTACCAACGGTCCACATAGTGGGTTTGCAACTAGCGAGATTTTGATATGTGTATCTGGTCATGCCTTCCCATTGAGCTCAGGGCTGCTTTTTTGTTTAGATTGTTAATTGAGCCAACTCTTTAATCACTTAGCTCATATAACTTTATGGCCTACTCAAACGCTTTGGCAAGAAACGTTTCATATTTAAAATTTAAAATTAATAAGAGTAATGCACGATGATGTTGAATAGGATAAATAAAATGTAAAATAGATATTGAATAAATTATTTAATTTATCTCTCCTAGTAAGACTTTGTCATGAGTAAAAGTTTAAAGAAAGAGTTCATGTCAAAAAAACTAGTCTTTCTATTCTCAAAAAACTAGTTTTATTGGATGAAAAAAACCCATCACATACACTTATAAACTCCACCTTACTTGTGAAGTTTTTAAATGTGAGACTCATGGCAACATTTTATTAAATATTTAAATTTGAATGTTAGTTAGGGACACTTTCAAGTTAATAGCTGAAGTTTAATTACAATTTATCAGACACAAAATTTAAATTTTTGTGCATTTTTTTGTTTTATGAATCAAGGTTTATGCAGGTCTTGAAGTTAAATTATGTGTATTTTTTTATGATGAGTATATATAAGTTTGGGAGAATTGGTGAAAAAGACCTTGAGAGATAAATTAATAAATTATGTTGAACGACCAAAGCAAATTGAATGATCAAACTAAATATTTTTATTTATTAAATAATTTGAGTAAATTATTGAAATGCCTCTTTGTCTTTATTAAAAAAAATTTAAAAAGGGTACAAAATTCGGCCACCAAATCTTTGGTCGCGGGAGCTTCTGCTAGAGCTATAGTCCCTCCTCCAACAAGTGACAATGCACTTGCCAGAGCTCTAGCCGGCCAGTGAAGGATAATTACTTCCATACTGCAGCCAAAAGCGTCATATAATAGTATAATGAAACAAAAATTAAAAGCGTTGAATCATTGGCATATATGATAAGAAAGTCGCAATTAATAGAGAATTAAGCCATAAGATCCTCATACGTAACACTTGAGAACAGATTCCACTATACTGGAACCTTCTCAAAATCACTTGTGAACAGTGGAATCTTACGCTTGAGTCTCTGATCCAATTCAAGGAAAGGCGCAGCGCAGAAAGAGACCAACAAGGAGACAACAGGCAGATAGAACGTAGTCAACCCCAAACAAAGCTTCAGAGGCAAGCTTCGAAGATAATCAACAAGTTGCTTTCGAGAACTAAAGACAGCCACGAAAGCTGTCAAGGAAGTAATGGATGAGCAGAATGAAACCAGAACAGAGAAAATGAAAACGTCAAAAGCAAGTTGGCCTCGTAGGTGAGGTTTTCCAGTGTCATCGGTGCCTCCTGGTACAGTGAACGAGGCGGCATAGGTGATACTGACAATGAGTGCTGCAATTGGATCACCGTCAGCCTTCGACCAGACGGAGTTTCCAACGTCCAAAATGTAGCCCTCCACTTCAATGTCAATTCTCAGCTTTTGTACCCCAATTTACTGAAAGAAAAACTGATCACTAGCTTTTCCATTTTAAAAACAAAAGAACATTGGAAATCAAAGTGAATCACGTGCTTGTATATGGAGATATTTATTGAGAACAAATGATATTTACAGCTGTAACAAAGTTTTTTCCAGAGACATGTGAGTGCCCCTCTTGAATGCCGAGGGAGTGTAGGTAAGGACAAGAAGAATAACATCCTGAATTTTAATTTTTAAATTTTAATTGTTAAAAAGAGTAAATTAATAAATTTGAATGATTAATAAATTAATGATATTTTCAGACTACTAATAAAATTATTGAATCATTGGACAACCTTAAAAGATGATTAGATTAGAGTTCAAGCAAAGTAGGTACTAAGTAAGGCCCAAATTCATTATGAACTTTATTGTGCCATTCACCACAGTGGTGCATGAAAATCTAATTTGATCAGAGCGACCACACGAGTTGAATAGAGAGAGAAAGAGAAGGGGATGCGAAGGGAGACAAAGAAGGGTTTTTTGCTCTGCTAGAGCTTGACTTCAACGTCACTTTGGGAGTAATTGGAGCTTGATTATTATTGGGTAAGCCTGTTCTATTCTTCATCTTCATCTTCCATGCATTTTTAATGTTCAATGGTGTGGTTGAAGGTTGTTTTCGGCCATGGGATGTTTTGGCCGAACCCATTGGCTTAAATGGAGCATTAGGGAGTTAAACTAAGTTTTTAAACCAAGGTTTAAGAATTTTATAATGATTTAGAGTTTGAGTTAGGGTTTGGATGAACTCTAAGTAAAAATATAAGCATTGGGAGCAATGTGGGTGAAGATTTGATGTTATTTAAGTGTTTGGGTGGTAAATGAAATTAATAAAATGTGTTGGAAATGTTAGTTTTGCTAAAGAGGGAATTTGGATGTGGGGTTACCCACACTTAGGATAATTAGAATTGTAAATTGATTATTAGTGTTTAATTTTGTAGATTAAATATTTATTGAGCATCGTTGAGCTAACAGAATCTAAAGTAATAGCCAAATTGCCACAATAATCCTTTTTTTGACAAAAAGATAGAGGTAACTGGATAATCTAGTTCTTTTATTTGTGTGTTTGAATGATTATGAGTTTTGCAAAAATATATGAAATCTATTAAAATTTGTGAATTTTTCTTATGTGCTTGGCATTTTGGCAACTTGTATGAAGTGGTATTAAACTAAAATAGTATCTTATGTTTAAAACCCTTTTTATGTATATTCATAAATAATTTTAAAATTGGATGCAAATTGAAATGTTAGTAATTGTTTTATAATTATCCCTAATAAGAAAAATGTATATGATTGAAATTGTCTGAGCATAATCATTGTGAGAGGGTGGGAATTCACTCTAAGGTTATAGGGGCATATTGTATGAAATCTATATGATACATTAGCACCATGAAGGCCCCGATGCATAATCTTTCTTATTTGAAAGCCCTAGTATTATCTTGAAAATAGATTAGATATACAACACCCCGATATTTGAGAAAGAGGAAACTATGGTCTAAAATGGGTGAAGGTGTCTTTAGTTAAGGCTACCTCCTATGATTGGTGAGCTTGGGCCAGTCTAGTTACATGAATTTTATTCTATTGTGTTGTTAGCCCATAAATTTAGTCGGAGGAAATAAGGAGGATATAAGATGGAGAATATTGATTATGCATTGTATGAAATGGGATATTGTAATCATGGATTTGTATGCACCTAATAACTTATTTTATTTCCCACTTTACACACTCATATACTATTTGATACATTAGTGAATATAGATTAGATTATTTGATTATTGAGATATCATTTCACCCCGTGGTTATATTTTACAAGTAAAGGGTCCGATAGGGTAAGTGAAAATGAGGTATTACCGAGAATTGAGAACCTCAGAATTGTATAGCTCTCTCTTTTGGTATGTTGTGTAAAGAATAATTTATAAATTAAGCCAACTTGTGACATCTATTATTTTGGACCACTTGCAATATTGGTGTATTTT